TGGAAACCCACCACTGGCCACGGTGGCCAGAATCAAAGGAAGTTGGAACTTAATTTCTGGTGGGACATGCTTACCACCACCATCACCACCACCACCTAGGGGCTCTCCTTCTATTCCTGGCCCTGTAATTGTTTAGTGGCTACTCCCAGAAGTCATAAAGCAGGAATCCCACCCACCCTTGTCTCTGCTGCAGAAGGAAAAGGCTAGGATGACGTTTCTGTTGGTAGGTTGGGGGTTCAATCTTGATTCACACAAGTCTGCCACACAAGCCTGATGAGAAACTGATCCGACAGAGAGTGGAACGGAGTGCAGCTTATAAAAATGTGAAGATAACAAAGGGGAGAAGAGACACAAAGCAGATGGAAGCAAAAGAATCAGGAGTTTGAGAGCGCCTTTTCCAACTCATAGATTGTATTAGGAGGCAGAAGCTTTCGTGACCCTCTTAATAAAATTTGTGAGCTGGAAAAGGCACTCCCAAGCTCCTGATTTTTTGGCTCCCCTAGAACCCACACAGCTCCCCTCCTACGAGGTCTACAACAAGCAGGTGGAAAGAAACCTAAAAGCATCAGCCTCTAGATGAAGAAGGCTGTGGAGCTAAACGGCCCTTGTTCCCAGGGAGCCCACGACAGAAAGGATCCAATCAAGCTGATAAGCTTCTTTCATGGATCCTAAGAGTTCACTAAATGCCACAGTCCAGGCATTCTTACTCTCAAGTAAAACCCACAGAGTTCAATAGGAAATATTCCAAAGGTGTATGTGTAGGATCTCGCTGCCTTTAGGGCTACCACGGTAAGTTCCACCGAAACTTTTCACGCATCTAAAAAAGTAAACATGTATTGGTTTATATAGAGATACACACACACGTGATTTAAGTGAACTCTGACGAGATTAGTGAACTCTGACTAGCAAGGGCTCAAATGGAGAAGAAGGAGTGAGAAGCAGGGTGTTGTCCACAAGGTAACTCATTCATTGCAAGGACCTAACGTATTTAAAAACTCCTTTCTCAGTCGCCCCAAAGGCCAGGATCAGAATCAGTGGGTTAAAGCTGCAGAGAAGTAGATTCACGTTAGAGGCTGTCAACTGGTGGATTAAACCATCCCTGAAGTCTCCCTTCACGGGAGGTCTAGACGCAGATGCTGGGCCTCTGCTTCCTGGGATCCTGCATCACGCAGGAGGGGATTGGACTAGATGACCTCCCAGGTCCCTTTCAATTTGAGGAGTCTTTGCATTAGACAGGGTGTGTTCCTTCTGCGGCTCAAACACAACGGGAGCGTTGTGAGTGAGAGGCTGCAACGCACTCAGTTTCCCAAACTGGACCCAACCGAAGCCCACTCTCTTGCTCTTCTTCACACTTTTATGTATAACTTTGGCGGGTTTCAGTCTGCAGCAGGTCAAATGTGTGTCCTTCAACTCATCCTCCGTAATAAAAACGGGAGTTAGGCCTAAATTAAGGAACCAGGGGCTGCCCTTACCCTGCTTTGGAGCAGGGGCCCTGCAAGGAATGAAACTGAACCCAATTGCAGACACAGATACAGTCGGTGGGCAAGCCGGTGTTCCTTGCAGACCTGTGCAGGGACGACTCTCACGTTCTGAGACTAGCTCAACCCTGGCTGCTGAATGCCCTTTGGGGCTCCCTGCAGGTCACCTCTTCTGAAGGCAGCTCTCTGCCCCAACCACGGGGCTGCCTCAGACACCCCCGGCCCTTCCCTCCGTCTTGCCAAGGGGCAGCAGTAGGCATACCGCACTGCCCTTGCTTGGCATCTCTGCAAAAACACTTCAAGCAGATCCATTGGGCTGAGAGGTCTGCCAAAGACCACATCTCAAGTCATGCGGGACGCAAGCCAGACCTTCACTGCTGCTTCTACGTGTAAGCCGCCTCTTCCGCTCCGCTTTTCTGCGTCATCCCAGAGCCAGCTTCTCACAATGATGACTCTGGTTTCTTCCATCTGGATGATGCGATGACTTTCAGCTTTTGTTCCGTTCCTCTGAGCAGTGCTAGGAGGATTACAAACGGGAATTTCTTTCCATACTGCAAAATCACTCACAAAACTGGGCTTTTTTACTGTTATATCCCAGCCTTTGAACGGATCAGTAGAAGCAGCCTGTGCGCAGGAGCAGTTCCAAGTCAGTTTCCCAGCCTACAGAAAACACGCCTGCCTCTCCTTCCCCATCCGTCCAGTCTGCCTCTCCTCTAGCTAATTCCTGACATTTTTCTGCAGGTTTCTCAGATATGAAGAATCAGACTGGGTAGTTTTGCCTCTAAACAAAAGGCACCTACCAAAGTGAAGGATGCAAATCTTGGTGAACTGCAAAGTCAATTTCAAGAATTACGGAGGGAAAAAGAGGAGTCACCGTCTCCATTTGCCAAACCAAACCCAAATAAAACCACCCCATAGCCGTTTGCTGGGATACCCCCGTTCGGAAGACCACTTGACCCTCCTCCGTGACAAAGAACCTAGATTAGGTTGTAGGTTTGAAGGGAAAGGAAAGGGCTCAGTAACATTAAGGCACTGGATGGTGTTAGTTTCTGAGCTTCGTGGCAGGACAAGCCTTCCCTGTCCACCAGAAGGAAGATCCTTGAAGCCCAAAAAACGCCCACACTGTAGCCTAGGACACTCCCCAACCGCCCCGTTAAAGTGCCTCCCTCCGGTAGAAGGAAAATTATGCTCTCGTGATGAGGCTGACAAATGGTGATATTTTAGTCCAGTGTTTCTCAGCCTCTGCAACTTGAAGATGGGTGGACTTCACCTCCCAGAAGTCATGCTGGCTGGGGAATTATGGGAGTTGAAGTCCACCCATCTTCAAGTTGCCAAGGTTGAGAAACACTTAGTCTCTTAATGCAGGATAAAGGAAGTAAAGCCCTGGGTGGGTTTCCCTGGTCACTTTCCTAGCACTGAGCACCGCACAATGGTGGGAAAAGCCACCACCAATCCTCTCCTTAGCATGGGGTGGGGCCAGGTAAATCAATTATAGGTGGGTGTTGTGGACATGGGGTTTAGCCTCTAGTCAAGTTGCCAGCTGAGAGCCCCAGAGTTGCTCTGCACCCATTAGCTGTTGATCGGGCTATTTCTAAGCAGGGTCCAGTGCTCTTGCGGACATTTGCTACACCGCCTCTCAAGTAGACTGGCTGATGATTTTGCTTCAATTACCCCTTACTGTTTTGTCAATTCTCTCGATCTTCTGATGGATTAAGTGGCCAGGTGCCCCCATAGAAGCCGGGTGCCTGGTCCCTCCTCCAGCCCCAGCTGCTCAGCAGCCAGGGACTGGACAGAAGAGACTTGCCAAGAGGAGCTGGGCAGATCCCAGCCCCACATGGTTGAGGAAGTGCTGGAGTTTGTTCATACAGCAGGACGGGTCCAGGAGAGAGGGGACAGCTGAGGAGGGCTCGAACCTACCACAGCTGGTGGCTGGGGATGAGACAAAGATGAAGTCATGAAGACCTGATGTATAAAAAGGATAATCAGGGCAGGAGAATGTGGAGACGCATCCTCAGACTCAGTTCACACAACAAATGGTTGGCTTGTTTGTAGCTTAATCTGCTGTGTAAACCCAGCTAGTAGTTTCTAAACCACAGTTCAGGGTTTGTGCTGTGCCAAGGCAGCTAATTATTGTTTAGACAACAGACCAACCATGATTAGACCAACCACGACCTAGTATTTGTGTGAGTGTTCAAAACCAAGGAATGATTTTGCTTCGATCACCCTTAACTGGTTCTCCAGACTCAAGACACTGGAAGTGAGAATGTGACAGGGAGCTGCCGGAAGGACCCACGAGGACGTACCAGGATTGGAAACGGGAAGCAAGTTTGTTAGGCACCTGAAATCGAGCAATAAGGTGAGGTCAGTGAAAAGTGGCACCACATTTCCAGAGGCGAAGGGACTCACGAGATAAGCAGAGGCTGAGAAAGTGTCAGCAGCACAACATCTCTCCAGGCTGAGCTCTGAGGGCCCGCAGGAGGAGGAAATGCAGGATGCCAGAAAAGGGTCAGCGCATTTCCTGGTGAGGAAGCAAAGTTGAATTTACCCCCCGAGGCAATTAGCTGGAAAGGGGTGTGTGTCTGGGTGAGAATTAATCCAACCAACTTGGCAGGGAGGGACAGGAGGAAGAATCAGCCACAGGTGACAGAGGGACTGATCTTCATGTAAGAGAATTGAAGGGGAAAGAGGTACAATTTGGATTACTAAACCACGCCTGTTTCCTTTGTCTGCCAGGGGCTATGAAACCGCTTTAAAAGAAAAATCTCACCTACAGCCACAGCCAAAGCTTTTTCTCCGAAAGAAGGCCAGAGTTCTTAGGAGACAGACTCTGCATTTAACCCTTTAATCTTCACGCAAAAGCTCCACCCCAAGAGAAGGAATAAATATATTTCTGGGGGAGGCAAAACAATGGAGAGCAACGACAAAATAAATTAACAAAAAGAGCATTCTTTCCACGCACAAATAGAGTTTGGCATGAAGATATTTACAACTCTGAACTCAGTTCTGTGGTTCGCCAATGGACTGCACCCATTTTTCTTTACACTTTTATAACCATGTTCCCGAGACTGAGCCTCCTTCAGCTGGGTTGGGGCTGCAATGCTCATACTCCCCAGCCAGGATGCTGGAGTTGCAGTCCCAATACTGTTGGAGGTGGATGCCAGATTGGGAAAAATCTCTGTATCAGTGTTTCTCAACCTTGGGAGCTTTAAGATGTGTGGACTTCAACTCCCAGAATTCCCCAACTAGCAAAGCTGGCTGGGGAATT